ATATACATATACATATACATATACATATACATATACATATACATATACATATATACTTTTTTCTTTTAAGAATTTAGTGTGTATTTTTAAGAGAATGTATCAAGCAGAATTCAATTGAAAATAGGTACGTGTTATAAAATAGAGGTTAAAAAATGAACGTTATAACTGTAAAGGTAGTAACTTAAATTTTTAAACAAGATTTGAAAAAAACATACAAAGGTGTTACACTCCAGTCTAGTAATTACAGGGGGAAATTTGTTTTATGAGAAAAGATAATATGAAATTGTAAACAGGACAGACGAAAGTATAAAAACATTGATTAGAAAGATTTTAAAAATTAGAAAAAGATATGTAATTGAATTAACAAAGGAATGAGATAATTTAAAATAAGGCTATAGGAAGTAAAGAAAGGGAAAAGCTATTGAAAAAAGCTATTGTGAAAATAGTTATAAGATATGGATTACAATGTATAAGATAAATATGTATTGAGTTTATGTCTGCATGGAGAAGTGATAACCCGGGGCCACGCTGTTCTCAAAAATATTTTATTTGTATTTATATATTTTGTGAAAACTTAAATGAAACTTTTATTTAAAAAAAAAGAGAGTGTTTTCCTATTTGTAGCGTTTCTTTCATAACCCTATGCATGTGATTGGTGGTCTGATCACATTTCAAACTGATGCAGTAAACTTCATTGTGATGCTGCCTTTCAGAAACATCCAGAAATTGTGACTATTTCAGAATTCTAGTGGTCTATCATTGATTGGTCCTAGCCATTGAAATGCACCAGTACTGTGTAGATCAAAAGCCACTCTGGTTCATACATTTCTGGAGAAAATCTTTATGCTGTGACTTGTGCAGTTAAATTGTCAGTTTTTTTCTGGTGGTATTGTTCCATTGTTAGGAACGAATCTTGGTTTTACTAGTGTGGCTGGGTTTGAGTTTCCTTTTGCCCCAAAGCAAACCTATAAGTATATATTTAAACATATTAAAGTTGCAGCAGTTTAATATTGTCAATTTTTTAGCCTTTTCCAGCTTGGGTATACACTAGTTACCGATATATGGACTTCAACTCTCAAATTTCTCAGCAAATAGCGATGCTGGCTTTCAAATTCTAGAAGATAAGGAAAAATGAAGATCTGGAAAAATGGTGAAGTAGGGAATAGTACTTCTTCTGTACAGTATTAGAAATAAAAAACAATTTTACCTCTGCAGCAAAACAAATAGAACAGCACTAAATCTGTACTTTTAAATCAGCAGACTGAAAAACAAATTGCCAGAGCACTGTGAATATGAAAATATTTTTTCTGTTCTAGTTAAAATCAAATGTTAATCCCCTTTAAGAAATAAAAGTGTCTTATTTTCCATGTGATGAACTGTAAAAGTGGTGATAGTTTCCATGTGATGAACTATCAATGATGTATTTAAAAAGGAGTAGGGCCTTCTAATACCAGTAGAGTGGCTTCATGTTTAAAATGGTAAATGTACAAAATAAATACTGTAATTTTGCTTTAATTTGTCTCGTGTATATTTTAACCAAATTTCATACATTTTTTTAAAAATGCATATGTGATTAGCCTTTTAGTTGTGATCTGCTTAAAAGTACAGAATTTTCATGAGGATCAGTAACAAAGTTCCTTGGTTAACAATGCGGATGTCAATAGTGTCAAATTTGTGTTCACTAGAATTAGTAAAGCTTTTAGGTTCCTGTGGTTTAAGCATTATGGGCTTTGGAAAGTCACACTGAGAGGACACTCAGAGGAAGAATACTCCGCTTTTAAAGATGTTTTTTTCAGAAGCGACTAGACTTCCTTGTTTTTCTTGGAAGACATTTTATTTCTCATCCAAGAAGCTTCTTCTGCTCCGCCTGGATGGCAGGGAATGGAAGGATTTATACTCCTTGCAGAGACAGCTGGTCCTTTGCATTCTTTTAGAGAATCCTTGAGGCCACCTGGAGGTTTATCTGTGTCATCAGGGTCACCAGGTGTGGAGCCTTCTTGGAACTGTTGAAAAGACTGTGTTGTAGACCAGAGATAGATGATCTGATATCCCCCCCCCCCCTCTGTTGAGAGAGGGCTGTTCAATTTTGACATAGATGGCCTCTTGGATGAGAAGTGAAATGTCTTCCAAAAAAACCCAAGAAAGTCCAGTTGCCTCTTGAAAAAAGCTGTCCTTTGGGACAACCGTGACCTGGGTGACAGAATCTCCATAGACACTCTGCTTTCAAATGCATTTTTAAAACAGCAGCTGTAGTACAAGCTTTTACAGGGAAGATTTTGTTCTGAAGGTCTGACTGTAACTGCTGTGAAAGACTCTGGAGAATGGAATTTGGAGGCTGGTGCACTGGTCCTGGCCGATGGAGGCCTCTGCTGCATAGATGAGTTTAACAGCATTAAGGAACATGACAGGACAAGCATCCATGAGGCCATGGAGCAGCAAACCATCAGTGTTGCCAAGGCTGGGTAAGTATGTTTAAAATGTTAAGATTGCAGCTGTACTACTTTTAAAACTTATTGATCCTTGTGCTAATGTAGGATTGCCTGTGTGATGAAGTGCTTTGAGGGTACAAACTAAGCCTGAAAGATCCAGACTCAGCTCCCCATTTAATTATGAAGCTTTTTTGGATAAGCCAGCCTCAGTCCATATCTGTCCATCTCACCAGCCTCACAGAGGATAAAACGGACAGGATGGAAGAAGAAACATGCCTTGGAGAAATGGTAGACTAAATGAAACAAAATGTTAAAAAGATATGACATTTATGTAGTTACTTATCAAGCACATTTAAATTACATTAAAACAACCCAAATGTCTTTACAATCCCCAAGGCACATCACAACTTTTGCACATTGAAAGTTGAAAAATTTGACACACCCTGTGAATTAATTAAACATTTTCAATTTTACTGCTGAGATCAGAGACAACATAATTTAACTTCAATTTAAAAGCAGTGTGTTCTATAAGGATGTTACAAGTCACGACCTATCTAGGTGGATTGTATAGGGATGTTATAGATTGCAATCCAGCCCAGAGATTACAGTGGGCACTATGCAGCTCCAAAGCTCTTTCACAGCCCCTGATATCTTGAGTGTATTGCTGCATTTTACCACCCTTCCAACTTTTTTTTAAATTGCCAGGTGAAGAAGAAGCAGCTTTTGATTAGCTATTAGCTCTCATTTTTTCCCATCTCCTGTTATAGATTACCACAATGAATTGTTAAAATTTGCAGCAAAGCTTTCTGGACATGTATAAAAGCTGGATGCATGAGAAAATAATGCACTTTGGTTTTATGTTTACATCACCCTTGTCCAATGTAAGTCTGATCATAAACACGGACTTGAAATAACCATTACTGGATACTATTTTCAGCAAAAATGGAAATCCATTTTAAGTTAGGAGTGCAATGAAACTTGTTTGATGCTGCCAATGGAATTTTAGAACCTTTTTTCCATTCCAAGTATGTATTCCGGAGTTCCAAATTTTCCCTTCCATATTTAGCAATCTTTATGGCATTATGCAAAGGGGTCAACTCTCATTTCCTTTTTGAATCTCTGTTGATACTGGCTTCAAGTCAAAATGCTTTTCCCATGTTGCGTACTGTTACAAATAAGAAAGCTAAGATGGTTGGTGCAGTATTTGTTCCCATTCAATATGTGAAGTAAGATGGCACCAACTAGAAATAGATCAAACCTAAATCAGATTTAGAACAGCTGCCTGGCTGCCTGCAACAAGGGTTATGCTATGACTACTAGGAGAAAAATATCTTTCTGGTTCTTTGAAAACAAATCTGGGGTCAAGGTCAAACAAATTAAGGAAGGCAAAAGTGTACTGTATTCAAGAGCTGTCATAGAAACTCTTACTACAAAGTCAGACTGTTTGTATGTTCATTCTTCAAGCACAATAATTTTAAGAGGCATATGTGTTTACAGTGCATCAAATAAGAATACAGTAGCTGTATTTATAAGTGGCATATATCAGTGGAAATGAAAGTTTGGATGTGAATCGTAGTTTATCAAGTATCAGGATAATCTGGTTTGGATTAAACAAAGAGGGTCTCCTGGGGAAGATTACATGGTGAGGCTGGTCAGGGAATAGCTATGTAGATTGAAGCAAATCAAGAGAAGAATTCAATTCATTGTGATTGGGACCTGACAAAATTTAGAGTTTTCACATTCAGTATTAGTTTTCCAGATAATTCATTCTTCTCGCTTTTTAAAAACTGTTTTATTAATTAGATCAGAAAGTGTTTAGCAACCCAACACCATTTTGAAATGTGTAGTGTTGTTGCTTCTAGTCAAAATAGGATTGTTGTCGTCCATCACCTATATGTTTGGCTTGCCAAACTCATACAAATTGTACTTTGTTATAATCCGGAAGCCTTTTCCCGAGACTTGTACTATCATCCAAATTGTTCAGTTCACATGAAATAAATGGAAAGCTTTGGGATCCCATAATGAAGAATAAATTTAGAATGAAAGATGTTCTACAAGTAACAATTAAAAAATCATTTATAAAGAGTTCAGTTCTATTTAATATTAATGCCATCCTCTTTTTTTCTTTCAGTTTAGTGTGCAAACTAAATACAAGGACCACAATTTTGGCAGCAACCAATCCAAAGGGCCAATATGACACTAATGAATCCATCTCTGTCAACATAGCCCTTGGAAGCCCTCTTCTTAGCAGGTTTGATCTTGTCTTGGTATTGTTGGATACAAAAAATGAAGAATGGGATCACATAATTTCATCCTTCATACTGGAAAATAAAGGTAACCTTTTTATATTAATTTTTATGGAATTATGTGAATCAATTTGCCACTGATCATAATAAAGTTTTATGCACAAATAAAGGTTTCCCTTATGAGAATTCACTTTGTGTAAAGTTACTATTGTGAATTAGTTTAAAAATTCATGCTATGCAAATAGAAAAAAGAAATCATTGTTATGTTATTTGTGCCAACAACTTCTGGAAATAGACTTCTCATTAAAATTGCTTGAACAGTTCCCTACCAAAACCTCTTTCTACTTCACTCACAAATTTACTGTCATGTTGTGCAGGTGTTCTAGTTGTGCATCCTGGTTTCCACTTATTTTCATATCGGTCATGTATTACTCAGTGCTCAAAATGGGCCATCAACATTTTACCCGATCCCCTTACACAAAATAAAAAGAAAGACCTCTCCAGTATGAAACCTTGGGCTTATTATGTCACACTAAGCTGATGAAGGGTTATCGGGTATAGGCCAAGCTTTTAATCAGGGTGATGCTACTGTGTGCAACAGAGCAAAGAATGCTAATAAAATTTTTCCTTTTATATTTGATACTATGGTATTATACTATAAAGTATTTTCTGTAAACTAGTGAGATCTATATGCTTTATATATATGTGTGTGTGTATATGTGTGTGTGTGTGTGTGTGTGTGTGTGTATGATATTCCCATGTCTTATAGTTGTGCTTTTAAAGTTGTAGTGACGTTTCAGCAGAATCTCATCTCCCATCATCAGGCTCGTGTATTGGGTTCATCTTCGTTGTGTGTGTCAGGCTTTCGCAGCCATTTCTGTTTTAAATTTGGTGCTAGCCTCGTGCTTCATTTGAATGTTTTTTTTCTTCATCCTGAATTGGTTGGGAGTTTTGGGCTGTGTTTATTGGTCTTGAAGTTTGCAGTGTTCTGCTTGATTGATGTTTCTAATATCTTCTGTCTGTTTTGTAGCGGTTTTTTTTGTCTGGTCTTGATTAGCTGGCAACATTGTGTTTCGTGTATTGGGGGCTTTCAGCACGGCTTGGCTTTGGGTGAATGGCTGGCTGTCGTTTATTAGGAAGCTAGGTTTCATCTGTCTGTGCCCAGGTGCTTGCTTGGCTTGTGGTGTGGAGATTTTTTTGTTTGTGAGTGCAGGCTTTCAGATAATTGACAGTCTGGTGGAGTCATCTCTTCTATTCATGCTTTCAGGTCTTTTTTCACTCTCTATGGCTTCTCTGATAATTCTGTAGTTGGGGTTTTCTATAGTGGCTAGGGTTTTGGTGCCATTGAAGTCGATGCTATGACCTGTGGCTTTCATGTGTTGGACTAGTGAAGAAGTGTGTTCCAGCTTTTTTACTGCATTCTTGTGTTCGTCATATATGTTCATCGTATATATGTTTAGTATTTAGTGTTTAGTATTTTTAAACATTCACTTGTTTTCTTGTTTTCCCTCCTTTTTTCAATTCTGTTTGGGGGGATTCTAGTAAAAAAATTGTTTTTACTATTTCATTATTTCTTTAACCGTTTTAGTTTTGTATTGTCACTTCTGTTTATTTTTTTTGTACTCTTGCTATAAAATATAATGAAATAAATGGTAAAAAATAACAACAATGGTACATTGGAATATCTGGATGAAATACCATTTGCCTGCAAGCAAGAACTGTACTTGACCACAAAATGGACAAGTAATATGAAATAAAGAAGCTAAAATACTTTGGGACTTTAGAATTCAAATAGAAATCATCTGCCATGTAATCCCCCATCCTTAACTATTGTTGCTAAGAAAGACAGAAAATGTTTGAATGGTGGATGTCGCATACCTGGAGACAACAGAACAGAAAGAACTGGAAAAAAAATCACAAAATACAAAGACCTGCAAATTGAAAAATAGCTGTGGAAAATAATGCAAAGATAGCACAAATAGTAATAGGCCCTCGGGTGCAATCCCAAAATATCTGGAGCACCACTACAACACCATCAGCATTAACAAAAATCATCATCAGTCAATTGCAAAAGACAATTTTACTTGGAACTTATATCTTGTGACAATATCTTTAATAGTATTATACAATATTTCCCTATCTTATGTCCTTGGGAAGGACAATAAGGGGGTACAAATGCCAAATCCAGTTTAAATATTTGGCTGACTGTGTGACAAACACAAACACAAAAAGCATGGGACCATTGCAAAGTGGATTACAAAAGCCAAGGCGACTTGTAATGCTAAGCAATTTTTTTTTTTCAAATTTTCAAATAATAGGGTTTTGACACTGATATGTGAATCCTGCATTGTCATTCATAAACTACATATAGGACTTAGTGATAGGTATGAACACAGCCAATGTGGCTCATACAGTGAACCACAATTAAGTAAGCGGAGGTGTAGCCAAGGGTCAGAGTTCAACCAGAGAGATAAACTTAACCACCCAAGCATATTATATTGAAGAGAGAAATTCAAGTTTATGAACTTGAGACCCAAGGGGTCTCCAACCTTGGCAACTTTAAGGCCAGAAGACTTCAACTCCCAGAGTTCCTCAGCCAGCAATGCATTTTTTTCAACGCTGTCATGCATCTAGTGTTGTTGGTTTGCTTTATTATTTAATCTTTTTTCAGGCTGCCCAAGCACATCTGAAAAACTCTGGTCTATGGAAAAAATGAAAACTTACTTCTGCCTTATCAAGAATCTCCAGCCGATACTGACTGATGAAAGCCACCTGATCCTTGTCCGCTATTATCAGATGCAGCGGCAGAGCGACTGCCGGAACGCAGCCCGAACCACTATCCGCTTATTAGAGAGCTTGATCCGGCTCGCAGAAGGTGAGACTTCTTTCTTCCCCACTTGCTTTTCCAATAGCTGCATTCCACATAATTGATTAATAAACACACATTAAAGAAATGTTGCAGTCAATATTTTACCCAGTTTGATAGATTTGACTTCTAAAGTCTACCTCCACCAAAATAGCTTTCTTTGTTTTGACGCTGAGGTCAAAAATTTTTGCCCTATATAATAGCTTATGAATGTAAATTTTCTTCATGCATTCAAAATACGATCCAGGCAGAAATCTCCAGCATACTCGTGTGAGCTGAAACACAGAATAAGGAGATATTACACTTTGTACTTCTTTTATTATGCTGTGTACTTCATTTTATCACAGAAGCACACCGCGAGCAGTTATATGTTTGTGTCTCTGTGTGTGTAAGATTTTTTTTTAAAGAAGATTTTACATAAGATTAAAAACTGCAGAAGCATAAAAAGAAAAGTAGAAAAAAGATATATTAGAATAAAAGAAAAAGTGAAGGACAAGAAAAGAGAAGGAAAAAGGAAAATATTGTGAGCAGCTTTCAATGTTCTACATTGAAAGACATCTGGTCACACATACTCAATGACCTTACATAAAGTCAGGGGTGGGATTCCACTGGTATAACAACCAGTTTGGTAATTGCATGCTTTGCGCGCGCACTCCGCATTTAGAAAAGCTCTAATAATTACCTTCTACAGGAGTCCCTGTGAATAAAACAGCTGAGGCTCAGCAAACCGCTCTGCCACGTGAATCAGCTATGCTCTAAACCAGGGGTGTCCAACCTTGGCAACTTTAAGACTTGTGGACTTCAACTCCCAGAATTCCTCAGCCAGCTTTGCTGGCTGAGGAA